CGTCGCTCGGGTGAGGATTTTTGTGAGGTGAGGTGGTGTTTTTTTGTGGTTAGGGGGGTTAGGGGGGGGGGGGGTGATTTGACCTGCTGAGATCTCAGGAACTAGGGAAGCTAGAAACATCAAATTTACAGGGGAATTAGCCTTTATGTAAAACTCAATTAGATCAAAGCTTGAAGGCCTTAGGTTTTGACCTAGTCAAATAAGGTAAAAAGTTAAACTCCAAATTGGTCTCCAAAGTGCCCCCAGAACCTAGATACCTGTTCTAAGCAAAACGTCACATGCTCATTTAAGGTCAGTGATCTTTTTTGACCTTTTGAAGGTCACGGTGACCATAATCATACAAGACTATTTCGAGTTATGCAGTTGAATAAGCGGCAAAGACTGCGCTAGGCAGCATGCTCCTAAAAACAAAATGTTTACCCGGGTCATTTTAGGTCAATGACCTATTCTGACCTTTAGGAAATCCATGGAAGATGTGTAGTGCGGTTCTTCTTATCAATACATTCGAAATGAGCACCAGAAACTAGCGCATACAACAAGCTACAGGGTAAGAATACAGGATGATCTTTACCTTGGTCTGACCTTCATACCTGGTCCTAGGCCAATGGAACTGGTTCATCAATTTTGTTGTGTTGCATAAGAAAGTATCTCAGAACTATACGGTTTCGTCTAACACTCCGTTGTTGCATCAGATTGAATGATTCCCTAAAAATTGACTTCGCAGAATCCATGGCCTGACTTTGACCTCCAGTGGGCCAGTGGCCTCCCAATGTACATTCAAATTTTTGACACCAAACAATCGGCTACTCAATGTTCTACAGCTATGCAAAATTAGGCGCTGCTGCACCGCGCCGTTCAGAAACCATTTTCGAAAAACCTTTGAGGGTCAATGTGCCCCCTACCCGAGCGCGTGTTAAAGGGAATGTTCCACATTTGAAGATGTTGAGACAAAGCACATATCATGGAACAAGCTAACTTGTAACTAGAGGTTTGCTCTTAAGGCGGAACAAATTTTTCTAGCTAACGATTTTTTAAAATCAGTAAATATGCTATTCGGCCGGTGTGTCTGGAAACCGGGCTCACGAGAGCCAGATATGAACGACTTGACAGTTATATTTTTATTGGCCTTGATCGCCGCATGGCCAGCGGAATGGCAGGAGTTGAATCACGTTACGATGTCATTAAAGATACCTGGGTGACCTTAAAACAGCATTTTCCAAGAAGCCTCCATATCTTCGCGGGCGTGTTACTCAGAAGCTAGAAGGGTAACCTTAAGAAGGGCAAGGTTGTGAATTGCACCAAATGAGCTTCAAGATGGCTATCTCAGTTCAAATCCCCACACAAATGTGGAGCACTCCCTCAAAATGGAGTGTTTTACTTTTGCATGGGGGTTTGAACTGAAACAGCCTGATTGAAGACATTTTGATGCAGCTCACCGCCACGCCTTTTTCGTGATTTTCGACGACCACAAACAGTGATCATCACATCACAATCAGTCATGTAAGCAGTCGTGGTCTCTTGAAGGTTGGCATGGGCGACCACACCTGGTTTGTCGCATTCTCCAGTCACTGGGATTCTTGTTTTAAGTGTAAGATGCTTCTGTCATACACCAGACCGGAAGTAAAAAAGGAAATCGCTAAGAAAGCTGACCGCTCCGTCCAGTATCCTTGGCCATGGTCGAGAACATTATGGCATCATCATGGCGCAGAATTTCGTCAGCAGGTCCTGCACCGCGACGTACGACATGGGCAGACACAACGGAGGACCCACATTTGCCAAACCGCTTCACGCAGTCGGCATCTTTCCGTGCTCAGGAAGACCGTCGGCCGCATCAAAGAGCCCCGCCGCGCCGATAAAACCGACCGGTTGCTGCGATGAACGGGGTTGAAGAAGGCACGCCGACAAACCTGCTCGTGACGAAAGCGCGGCGCCGGTCGGCCGGGCCAGGGCCCTGTACCGCCGGCGCGAGGTCGCCGTTGATGTAACGGCGGCCAGAAACGTCCCGACCCGGATCCGCTCAGGCTTGACGGACCCGTGCCGAATGTCGAACATCTTGACAGCCCATGGTTTCCACGATTATTGTGAGGATCCTTGAACTCATCGTGAATCTCAAATTTCGACAGCGTTAACGTTTCTAGAAGGTTATGAGTTCAATAAACCTTACTAATAATAAGGCAAAGCACCCGCAATGAGTCTTACTAAAAGCGTCCCTTAGATAGTACACCGAGACGCATGCAACATAATTTGACCGTCGACAACGTACGCCAAGCAAACCTGTGGCTGTCCTGCTATGGTCATCATCCGTCGGTCCGCGTGAGTCCCCGTCCACCGATGGGCCGTGAGCCTCTCGGTCGCTGTCAGGAGCCTGCCGCCGATGGCCGGGCCTGACAGAGCCTCTCGGCCGCTCTCAGGAGCCTGCCGCCGATGGCCGGGCCTGACAGAGCTTCTCGGCCGCTCTCAGGAACCTGCCGCCGGTGGCCGGGCCTGACAGAGCTTCTCGGCCGCTCTCAGGAGCCTGCCGCCGGTAGCCGGGCCTGACAGAGCCTCTCGGCCGCTCTCAGGAGCCTGCCGCTGGCGGCTGGGCGCTGTCGCTGACGGCCCGCTGATCCATCTGGGGTCGCCGGTCGCCGCCAGAGACGGTGGGCAGGTTCAGATGCCGCCTGCCCCGCCGCCGCCCTGGGCGACTGTTTACGGGCAATGACGACTCGCGGTGACCTGCTCGGGGCATGGCGTGAGATGCAGAGAGCTCAAATCTGATACGCCTTTGTAAGTTTGATGATCAGAAAAGTAGATCAATGGAGATTTTGATGCTCGGGAAAAGTATTTAAGTTACAGGACGCTGGCTTTCACGGCTCGGAATGCAGCCGCAAATCGCCGTTGGTTTATGTCAGCGTGTGGAGGTCATGATAATACAAACCCAACGCACCCGCAAACAATATCATCAGGTTTGCGTTATTCAGGTTATCATCATATTATATTATTATCATATCATATTATTATTATCATATCACATTATTATTATCATATCATGTTATTCAGGTTGTTCAGGTTGTCATCTTGGTTTGCCCTCGATAACCTTTAGTATGCCAATCTGGCTGAGAATGAAACGCGAATCAGGACAAAAAGAGGCGTTGTCTGTCAGCTCAGCGTACTATGTCACCATGGCCTTCGCGATTTTCGCGGTTGGTCAGCGGAAAAGTAACGCCTAGAAATATCGTCCGAGCAAGGCAGGCTTTGCATGTAGTAACCCTTGGGCACTACGGAGGCGGATTGGTGTCTGAGAATAGCCTGCTTGCTGGTTTTGTTTCACAATGTACGACTTGAGTCCTGTAGATTCCGGCGCAGCTGGGGAATGCAGCACCAAGGACGAGTCGTAAACGCGATTACGGACGCCGGCAATGTTTCGGCACATGCGGCTGGAATGCTCCCGACGCGTGCACAGTTGTCATGTCCACGGAACTGACCTTGTGCAGCCTTCAGCGTTTGGTATGAATGGGATTTTACGAGTATTGTGTGGTCTGACCTGCAATAGTATTGAAGGTGCAGCGGTCTGGGGATTACGTACCTTCTGCCTGATATGGGCCAATTGGTGGGGAACTTGTTCGAGTGCCCAATTCTGCCGTCATGCGTGACAGTTTCGATAAGCGCCAAAGGTACAGAGCAAGTCTCGAAACATTTTTTTAAGGGCGCCTCTGTAAGGCATCCCTGTAAACAGCATTGTGAGCGAGTCATGTAAGCAAATAGTTTATTTTGAGGTTTGCGTGATACCGGGCATATGAATTGGGCGATTTAGTAAATAAGCACTAGACTTGTTTGCATCTGGACACCAAAGCAAGTTCAGCGATGTCTTATAACGGTACCTCTTGCTATCAATGCAAGTTTTTTGACGGAAACTCAAATTTTCAGTTTAAACCCGCAGGTAATTCTGTTGCGCTTGACAAGAGTGTGTACAATGCATCATTTGACAACCTAAGCTATTGTAATTTGTGGTTCAAGATGAGTTATTTGCATTTTGTTGCCTCTTTAAATTTGGCGTCGTACGCTGTTGAGATAATGGGACTTTGATGCCCAGAATGCGCTAAGAGCATATATTTAAACATTTGTCGAACGTAACTACAGTACTCAATAGCATGTACCACAAAGCGTACACAATGGTTTGTAACACGCTGCCACACTTGCCTAAACACGACCACAAAAAACATTCATCTGAGAGTGGATCACCTCTCGGCAGTTTCACCACCAAAAAAACGAAAAACTAGACGGAACGCTGGCAGATTTTCCTCCCGCTGGAAC